TGAACGCCTGAGCACCTTCCATCCCAAGATTGAACGGTTCAAAGAGCTGAAAAATTTAGAGAGAAGGCAGAGAAGAGTTTAGGGCAAAATGTTTTCTTTTTAGAGAGAGAAAGGGAAAGGCAGAAATGGATTTACTCTAACTTTTGGGGAATGACCCTGGCTAAGTTAAGGTTCCCTTAGTCTGGGCCTGACTGCCTCCAACTAGGGCCCAATGGCCTTATAATTTTCCAGGTCCTCACATTTTACCTAAATAATATGTTTGGCAAACATGACAACAATATTAGATAAATATGATTTTTGTTCTTTGTTATTAGATGATAGCGCAGATTGGCCATACAGACTAGCTTGCAGGTTCTTTATAGAAAAGTACGGAATGAGTTGAGTTGAGTTGATTATTTTTTTCTTGTTAGTCTACTTTGATTTGTTTCGCATCTTATAATTTTTAATTCGTATGGACTAATAATGACAGGCTGGCTTTTATTTGAGTGGTATAGTGACATCATTTAAATTCATAAAATAGCATAATATGTTATATGTTTCTTTTAATTAACATGTTGATATACGTTTATCTAAATATAATTCATTTATTCGTATTCAGTTGATCCAAAAATATATTCTTTATTCATATTTTTTCTTTTGTTTAAATTAATTTTAAAACTATTTTTATTTTTAATAAACTTGTATTTAAAAGTTATAAATGATAAAATTACAAATATTACTTATTTTAAGAAACAAGTAAAAATTATTATTTTTACTAATTTATTTATAAAAAACATAAAGTTATTAAAATTATTATATAGACAGCAAATCAGTCTATAACCCCACAAACGTTATATGAGGTGATAAAAAATTAATGCACATCTTTTGCGTAAGACTGATCAACCCGACTTACATTTTACATATCAAATGTGTGGAAGTCATAAGGAAGTGACCGCATTACTATCCTTCTCTTTGATCGATGGGATATATCCTGACATTCCACAATTATCAAATTTCATAGCGATCACATTTCACAGACCTATCATCTTCTTGAACTCTATATAATCATCTCCTTTACATATTCCAAATATCAGACACATATCATCTAACATTTTCTTTACCTCTATATAACTCTCTTCTCTATATCAGACACATATCATCATCATCATCTATATAGCTCCTTGATTTATAGTCTATACGTAGAAGAGAACATCCCATTCTGAACTCTATAAAGCTTTCTTACCAGATAAGTAATCAATAACAATCATTTAACTCCACTCATTGCACCTATCTACATTGCCAAACACCACCCCTCACATCATGTCAGAAACACTTCTTTCTTTGCTTTTATCTTTTTAATTGTCCAATTTATGTCCAATTGTTATAATTTAATTTAATGAAAGTTTTACTTTTATTAAGATTTTCAGTAAAAAACTAAGTCAAATTTACACAATACACAGTATTAATATATATATATATATATATATATATATATATATATATTTATATTGATATATTTATATATTGTTAGAATGAAATTAGTTATTACAAAGGTTTAATACCTCTTTTGGTCCCTAGAAAGGGGGCCAATGTTCAATGTGGTCCCACCTTTTTTTAGAAGTTCAATGTGATCCCATCTTTTGTAAAAAGTGTGCAATCAAGTCCTTTTTNTCCAAATCCAATCTCATTTACCTCCAAATTCACTCAAATAATCAACAAAAAAATTTATTTTCAAATCATCTCTCAATTACTCTCTCTCAAATCCACTCAAGTGAACAAGGCCTTAATCTTGCTTAACTTTTCCTGTTAATTTTATTTACTTTGACTCATCTCTTATCTGTCCTTATCATACACTAATCCGCCTGTTTACTTCTTTTACTCGATTCACTCTCACTTTAACACTTAGAAAAAAAAAATATTAACATTTTTCTTCATCTCGTGACTTTTTTAATATTTGTCTTGTTTATTTGAATTTTATCGACCTTTAACAACTTAATTTTAAGGATGTAATTTTAGGAGATAAAATTTAATGACTGTTAATTACTAACTCGTATTGTGAAATTTTAACGAAATACACACACATAATGAGTGAAATAATTATGCAAGTTTTGGATAGTTTGTTTTCTAATTATACAAAGCGCGATTTAGCTGAGAGAAATTAGGGAAAAATTATATTACTGGATCTTAACTATTAGTTTGAAGAGTCTTTCTTGAGATTTATTCAATTATATATGTTATTACTGAGGGAGGAGTGACCGACCGGGAGTGTTCAGATAGTATCGAGAGCAGGTAGAAACAAGTTTAATATGTCCGATCGGGTCTCTCAAGTCTAATATGTTCGATCGGGTCTCAAAGTCTAATATGTCCGATCGGGCGGGCCTCTAAAACTACTGTTGGCTGGAGACAGCGATTGAATACTCATGAATGTGTAGTTAATGAGGAAACGGTCGTTGTAGAGTATTTAAGATTAGCATTGAAAGCCATTAAGAGGTAAATTAATGGGTAATATTATCTGAAATCATATAAATAACAATCAAAGGAGAAGGTAAACCTCTATTTTTTTATAATTACATAGACTTGCAAAGACCAATTCTGACTTGAGCGTCGGAGTGTTTCTTGCAAGTCACCCAACTTATACTGACGTAAGGAAGGCGACAGACGAAAGACCGATAAGTAGAGGAAGAGTGTTTCCGAGCGGAGACCGCATGAGTTTTTCTCGATCTCATTTAGCAGAAACAATATATATATAATATATATATATATTTATATTGATATATTTATATTTGTTAGATGAATTAGTTATTACAAAGGTTTAATACCTCTTTTGGTCCCTAGAAAGGGGGCCAATGTTCAATGTGGTCCCACCTTTTTTTAGAAGTTCAATGTGATCCCATCTTTTGTTAAAAAAGTGTGCAATCAAGTCCTTTTTCGAAACGGACGTTAAGTTTTTAACGGAGCAGCTGGACAGGGTGGACTGAAGTTAGTTACGTGGATCATTGGGTGGGGTAATCGTGGCAGTGAGAGGGTTGATTACGTGGTTGAGAGGGGAAATCAGAAATTAGGGATTGTGAGTTGCAGAGAAATGGGAATTTGGGATTTATCGTCGTGTGTTCTTCTGGGTGTTCGTCGTGTTTTTGAAAGTTGGATAAAGGATCTTCTTCGGTGGTCCATGGTTGTGGTCTTCAGTTACAGAACTGTGCAAATATAGAACTGAACTGCAGTTACATAACCATTTGGAAACTTCCTAAAATCAAGAAGTCGTCCTTTCGAGGGAAAATTTGTGGAGACTTTTGGAGGAAAAAAGGAACAATTTCTTTGGCAGCAAATAAAGGGCGTTTGTTGGCCATTGGATTAGGAGCTGTTAACATGGCAGCAACGAGACCCCCTGTACTTGTCCCAGCAATCACGTCAAAGTAATCTGCAATCCTTGCATTCTCACCGTCTAACTCCTATATATGTATGCATAGACAGACATTCAGAAGCCTTAGAATCTAACTTAAAATTTAAAACACTGCAATTTGCTAACCTGAAGTTGAGCCTCAAGGTAGGCAAGAAGAACACCGGGAATGATTCCTCGAATACCACCACCGTCAATGCTAAGAACCGTAATGAAATTCCATTTGAAGACCTAACAAGAAGTCGTCCTTCGTTTGAGTCTAAGAGTAACACGACGAACAGCCTTCAGAAGAAATCCCAAATTCCCAATTTCTCTGCAACTCAAACCCTAATTTCTGATTTACCCTCTCACAAAGCCACGTATCACCCTCTCACTGCCACGTATTACCCACACAAAGCCACGTAACTAACTTCAGTCCATCCTGTCAGCTGCTCCGTTAAAAACTTAACGCCGTTTCCAAAAAGGACTTGATTGCACACTTTTTACAAAAGATGGGATCACATTGAACTTCTAAAAAAAGGTGGGACCACATTGAACATTGGCCCCCTTTCTAGGGACCAAAAGAGGTATTAAACCTTTTTTAAATGATGAAAAATTGCAATTTAATGTAAATAAAACAACAAAAATAGGGAAACATAAATGATTAAACATATATGGATCGTAAGATACTCACAACGGAAAAGGAGTTGAAATCTCCATTATTTAATGTAATTAAATATGATAAAATCAAAAGGAGGAAGGTACAAACAAATAAACAAGGATGGGTAAAAAAATGAAAAAGGAAAAGCATTTGAACATTTTGCCGGGTATGATTGTGGGACAATGAAATCCGAAAAGTGGTTTATGATAGATCAACCACCAAATTTTTGTTTATATATAAAATGTATAAACTATGGGAAAATAAAATACGGAAAGAAATAGTTTATCATACAATAAGGTGGATGCCAACTTATGCATGACTAGATATAGATATTTTATTATTTGAAAGTAAGTGTTTCAAATGATTTGAAAATATTTGTATAATAATATATAAATGTATTGGTTTGTGTTAATGTAGGGTTAAACCCGACCGGTTAGGCATGACCGGGTGCTAAGACAAGTGGACTAGAGGACTACATTACGAAAGTAGCCGCTCGGTCAAAACAACAATTGAACGGAATTAAAGCACAATATTAATGCTACAACGGCAACAATTGAACGGAATTAAAGCACAATATTAATGCTACAACGGCTACTAATGAGTGGTTAAGGTTTACATGAATGACCATTAAAGAGGTAAATTAATTAGTCAGATTCATCTAAACTCTATAAATAAGGGTTTACTTTCCAGGTAACCTCACTTTTTACTCCCTATTGAATTACTATTTAAATGAAAATTTTCAAAAGATCGAGAGAAAAACGAGTAATTAATTTGTGGATATTATTTAATAAATTACTGATTTATATTCTTAAGGCTAACATTTGGTTTTCTAATAAAGAATTTTACTTATTAGTTTTTCTAAATTGTTTTAATTATTATTGAGATTTGATAAATAATATTTATCTTGAACATGAACAGTAGTTGACGCTATAAAAGATATCCCTCGTTGAGGTGAATTATCATCAACCATTTTCAGTGGTAAGATTCACATTCTATAACTATAGCTTCCGATGGCTTCAACAGAAGGGCTTCAAGCATATGAAGAAGAGAAGCTCCTTCTGCCCTTTCCCAAAGAGAGGGGTTGGGGATCACGCCATCTCTATCTTTTTCAACACTTTTGGTGTCCATCAACTCATATTGAAGGTGTAATCAATTTTCAAAAGCACTTTCAGGCAAAAGACAGTGATGTTATTGTTGCCAGCTTTCCAAAATCAGGTACTACTTGGTTGAAAGCCCTTACTTTTTCTATTCTCAACAGAAAACGTTTCTCATCTTTTGATAATCATCCATTACTCACTTCCAATTCTCATGAACTTGTTCCTTTCCTTGACTTCATCTTTCATGGTGATAACATCCAACACAAACTTTCTTACCTCTCCAATATGACTGAACCAAGAGTTTTTGGTACTCACGTTCCATTCCCTTCTCTCTCCAACTCAATCAAGGAATCCAACTGTAAGATACTTTATATCTGCAGAAACCCATTTGACGCATTCGTTTCTTCTTGGACCTTCTTCAATAAAACAAAGTCAGGCTCTTTGCATGAAGTAACAATAGAGGAAGCTTTAGAAAAGTACTGCAAGGGAATAGTTGGGTTTGGTCCGACTTGGGAGCATATGTTAGGTTACTGGAAAGAGAGCATAGCAACACCAAACAAGGTTCTCTTCTTGAAGTATGAAGGACTCATGTTATGAGAAAAGAAAGGATAGGAATTGTATTTCTTATTACATAAGAAGAGAGTACAATTTTACATATATATAATTGTTTGAAATATATAATTGTTTGAAACAATATATAAACGGAATATAAATATAAAAATAGAATATAAATATATGAAGATAAATGCACAGATATGAACGGAAAATAAATTAAATCCAATATCCCCCCTCAAGCTGCAGCATATATATCCTTAATGCTCAGCTTGGACAACAAAGATTGAAATTGTGCTGGATGCAAAGCTTTAGTATGAATGTCTGCAAGTTGTGCTGAAGTAGGAATGGACAGGAGCTTAATTACACCAGCTTGAACTTTATCTCTTATGAGATGACAATCAATTTCAATATGCTTTGTTCTTTCATGCATGGCTGGATTTTGTGCAATTTGTATAGCAGATTGATTGTCACAAAACAGAGAAACTGGTTGTGGTAGAGGTTGTTTCAAATCATGGAGCAAATACAGAAGCCATTGAATTTCACATGTTGTGGAAGCTAAAGCTCTATATTCTGCTTCGGTTGATGATCTAGATATAGTACCTTGCTTCTTGGATTTCCAGCTAATTAATGATGCACCATAGAACACATTAAAACCAGTCACAGACCTTCTAGTGTCAGGGCAAGCAGCCCAATCAGAATCACTAAAAGCCTTGAGAGCATGTTCTGTGTTGGAGGGAAAGAATAATCCTTGTCCTGGATTGTTCTTGATATATCTCAGGATTCTTATTGCTGCTGCATAGTGATCTTCCAAAGGATTGGAAAGAAATTGACTGAGAGTACTAACAGCGAAACATAAATCTGGTCTTGTGTTGGTTAGATATAGTAACCTGCCAAGAAGTCGTCTATAGGCCTGCACATCTGAATAGGGTTTCCCTTCTGTCTTGGAAAATTTTGTGCCTGGCTGTATAGGAGTAGAAACAGGTTGACACCCCAACAATCCTGCATCTTCTAGTAACTCTAGAGCATACTTCCTTTGTGACAAATTAATGCCCTGTTGAGATCTTGCAATTTCTAAGCCCAGAAAATACTTGAGTTGGCCTAAGTCTTTAATCTTGAACTTTGCATTCAATAGAGCCTTCACAGTTTGGATTTCCTGGATGTCATCACCTGCCAAAACTATATCATCTACATAAACAAGTAAGATGGTAATATGAGCAGAATCACTTTTGACAAAAAGTGAATAATCTGATTTTGATTGTGTGTAGCCCAAAGAAAGTAAAGTAGTTGTCAACTTGTAATTCCATTGTCTAGAGGCTTGTTTGAGTCCATATAAAGACTTCAACAACTTGCAAACTTGTCCTGGTTTTTCAGATTTATAACCAAGAGGAAGAGACATGTATACTTCTTCATCTAGATCCCCATGTAAAAAGGCATTAGTTACATCTAGTTGATGTAAATACCAATGTTTGGAAGCTGCTAAAGCTAGAACCAATCTTACTGTTGTGAGTTTGACAACAGGTGAAAAAGTCTCAAAGTAATCTAAACCTTGTTGTTGTGTGTAGCCTTTGGCTACAAGCCTTGCCTTGTATCGTTCAATACTCCCATCAGCATGCCTCTTTATTTTGTATACCCATTTACATCCGATAGGTTGCTTTCCATTAGGTAGATCAGTCAAAACCCAAGTTTTGGTATTTTCTAAAGCTGCAATTTCTTGATCCATGGCATTTCTCCAACAATCATGTTTGATGGCTTGGTTATAGGTTTTAGGTTCACTAACTTGGGAAAGATTAAGGACATATGATTTATGAAGAGATGATAATGCATCATATGATAGATATGAAGAGATAGGATATAAGGTACCTGTGGATGACTGAGTGGCGGAAGAAGTAGATGACATGTTGCAATGATAGTCCTGCAGATAAGATGGTGTATGTTTTGGCCTAATTGATTTCCTTTGTGGAGTAGCAGTGACAGGTTCAACAGAAACAGGCTGAGAAGAGAAAATAACAGGGTCGGAAACAATAGAAGGAGGAGATGTAAGTGGTAAAGAGGGTTGATCAGTAACTTCTGAGAAAAGAGGTGATGGAGGTGAAATAATTTTGGTGACAAAATCCAAGGAATTTTGTGTATTAATAGGTGAGTGCTTGTCACTAGTAAGAAAAGGAAATATATTTTCATAAAATACTACATTCCTTGATAGAAAAATTTCCCTAGAATTGAAATCTAACAAAAGGTAGCCTTTCACTCCTGTTTTAAAACCCAGTAAAACACATTTTCTTGCACGAGGTTGAAATTTTGTTCTATGAGTTTGAAGAGTTGAAGCATAGCAAAGTGAGCCAAAAACTCGTAAGTAAGTAATGTCAGGTTTAACATTGTGTAACAGCTGAGATGGAGAAAAATATGTCAAAACTTTGGAAGGTAAAATATTAATGAGTTGCACAGCATAACGAACAGCAAAAGACCAGAAAATTATGGGCAAATGGGATTGAAACATTAAAGATCTAGCAACATTGAGAATGTGTTGATGTTTTCTCTCAACGACTCCATTTTGTTGAGGTGTTTCAACACATGATAATTGATGTTGTATCCCTTTTTGTCTATAAAAATCTGTCATTGCAAACTCATTACCATTATCTGATCTAACAGCTTTTACATCAATGCCAAATTGTGTTTTTATATNGAGGGAAAATTTGTGGAGACTTTTGGAGGAAAAAAGGAACAATTTCTTTGGCAGCAAATAAAGGGCGTTTGTTGGCCATTGGATTAGGAGCTGTTAACATGGCAGCAACGAGACCCCCTGTACTTGTCCCAGCAATCACGTCAAAGTAATCTGCAATCCTTGCATTCTCACCGTCTAACTCCTACATATGTATGCATAGACAGACATTCAGAAGCCTTAGAATCTAACTTAAAATTTAAAACACTGCAATTTGCTAACCTGAAGTTGAGCCTCAAGGTAGGCAAGAAGAACACCGGGAATGATTCCTCGAATACCACCACCGTCAATGCTAAGAACCGTAATGAAATTCCATTTGAAGACCTAACAAGAAGTCGTCCTTCGTTTGAGTCTAAGAGTAACACGACGAACAGCCTTCAGAAGAAATCTCAAATTCCCAATTTCTCTGCAACTCAAACCCTAATTTCTGATTTACCCTCTCACAAAGCCACGTATCACCCTCTCACTGCCACGTATTACCCACACAAAGCCACGTAACTAACTTCAGTCCATCCTGTCAGCTGCTCCGTTAAAAACTTAACGCCGTTTCCAAAAAGGACTTGATTGCACACTTTTTACAAAAGATGGGATCACATTGAACTTCTAAAAAAAGGTGGGACCACATTGAACATTGGCCCCCTTTCTAGGGACCAAAAGAGGTATTAAACCTTATTACAAACTAGTGAAAAAAAAGCCTTTAATATTACCCTTTAGACGTTCGATTCTCGAATATCCAACTTAAAAAATGACGGGTGACATTTCCATAAATAAAACAATTATTTAGACGTCTAAATACTCATATACGTCGGTTCCCCCGAATGGACGCCAAAACTAAATGAAAAAGTAAAAAATATTAATTTTTTACTCTATTTAGACGTCGGGTATGGGGTGGCCCGACATCTAAATACTCAGCCCAGAAATCTAAAAAGTTACTTTTTGACTCCATTTAGACGTCTGACACCACTCCAACGTTTATAGTCATTTAAACGTCGACCACCCCTATCCCAAACGTCTAAAGTGTGCGCCAAAATAAATTTTAAATGCTTTAAACGTCAGCTAGACAGGGGAGTTGACGTTTAAAGCCATTTAGACGTAGGCTAGGGGGGAGCCGACGTCTAATGGTATGCTATTACTTACCAAACCCGTGCGAGAGGAAGTAGTTACGGACACTCGACGGGCTACGATTTTAAGGTTCGTTTTCTCACTTTTGCACCGTTTAAAATTAATTTTACTCCGATTACATTACTTTTTGATGAATTGTCTTTCAATTGAACCGATTAAAATGCGTTTTCGTTTCGTTTTTGTGCAGTTTTGCTTGTGTGTTGGTCTTCGTGACTACTTTGCCCCTACACAAAAAAGCACTCAATCCATGAGTCAGGAGGCATCGAGGAAGATGGATCTTCAGTGGGAGGAAAGGCTCAACCAAAGCATGAGATCAATGGAGCAACGATTCATGGAGCAGCTACAAGAACAAAAGGAAATATAAAGAGCGCTTGAAGAGAAGTTGCATTCCTTGATGCAGGGCACCAAGGGTTGCTCACTGAAGCTCCCACAGCAGACGTCTGACCTGTGTAGTCCGATGTCTATATAGACGTTTTACTTATGTAGTTCGACGTCTATATACATGTTTGACCTGTGTAGTCCGACGTCTATATAGACATTTGACTTGTGTAGTCCGATGTCTATATAAACATATGACTGTGGGGTTCGACATCCCATTAACATCTCCCAGAAAGACGTCGAGTCAAGATCAGACGTAAAAAAACCCAAAATAACAGACGTTAAAAGCCTTTTCTACACTAGTGACATATTTCTAGAAAATTAGGCATTATATAACATGGAAAATTAGAATAATTGATTCCTAATTATTAAATGTATTTATTATAATTGATTTTGTATTATTCTATAAATATATGTTGTGTGGTCTCTATTGGACACACAATTCATTTAGAACATATACAATTTTATAAGGTTTTAAAACAGGTATTTTGAGTTTCTTTCACCACTGTCTTTATCGTCCATCGGTGGTAAATGTGCATTGTCCATTGCCTTTATCCATCATCGGTCATAATGTGTCCCTTTTCTCTGTCAGCGAGCATAACTCGACACACCAAGCTCCCACTCGACAAATCATGCTTCAACTTGGAAGATCGTGCTCCAACCTGGCTAACTGTGCTCCAACCTAGGAGATCGTGCTCCAACTTGACAGACCATGCTTCAACCCGGTAGATCGTGCTCCAACTCACCAGATCGTGCTTCAACTCGGCTACCTCACACCTCAACGGTACATTTTAGCCGATTTTCGATACTTTTTTCCATGGCTTCCACTA